GTATTATAAAGCGATGTGAAGCGGCGAATTAAAGGAAAAACATTGTTGATGGAATATGTTCATTTGAAAGGACGAAATTGTAAATTTAAGGAATAAATGATCATGGCTGGATATATATCGGTGTGTAAATTTTACCTAATCACTCATATATATATATATATATATATATATATATATATATATATATATATATATATATATATATATATATATATTGCATTTAAAGTGTTGGTATAAAGCAATGTAATATACCAATACTATTGGTATATCAAATTGTGATCCGCCCATGGCGCAATAATACGCATATATAAACATTCTCGCAAGCGTCTTTAGTTGATTCGATTCTAGATCAATGATCAATTTACACAAATTAATCACTAATGACGTGTGAAAATTTATGATGAAAAGTATAATTAATCCCCGTTTTCTAATTTTATGTTTCTTTTTTTCCTTAAACATACCATAATGTTCTAAGAAAATCTATTATTATTATTATTATTATTATTATTATTATTATTATTATTATTATTATTATTATTATTATTTCAGTATGAAAATTCCAAAGCTCTCTCTCTCTCTCTCTCTCTCTCTCTCTCTCTCTCTCTCTCTCTCTCTCTCTCTCTCTCTCTCTCTCTCTCTCTCTCTGCCTTTGACTTGACTTTTACTATTATTCATAAGTTCAGAGTACAGAGATATCGTGGGATGATAAAATAAAAATCCTCTACATTCGCCATTTCACAGATTTTATCTCGTATCCTGCTACGATTGTCGATCGATCGAGACGTCTTTGGACATTTTCATAATTAAATAATAATACTCTATTTTTAGAACATCATAGTATGTTTAAGAGACCCCCCCAACATTAAATATATCAGAGTATGTATACCACGTAAGTGAAGAATTTACTGGTTTGCAACATTGTATCATTGATAATCACTGTAAATAAATCCCAAGGAAAGTGCACACGTTTCGTTAGGACGAACCTTATTCTTGTATTACTTCGTGTAATTTCTTTTTCAAGGTTTTAATCGAGTCAAAATTCATTTTCTCTTTTATTCCGCATTTCTGCGTAGTTTGTCCGTTACGCTTGAGAGGGGAGGGAAAAACAGGAAGCAGAAAGGATTGTGATGAAAATGTGTACCATATTAAATAAATTTAGAAAACGTGGATTATTAAATCTTTTCATCGTTATTTTACATACATCACTAGTGACTAATGCGTGGAAATTGATCATTGATATATAATCAACTGAAGACGTTCGCGATAATGTTTGTATATGGTAGGATCATAATTTGATATATCAGTTGTACTGGTCTATCAAATTGCTTTATACCAACACTTTAAATGCATGTTATTTTATCACGTATGATAACATAAAAGTCTAATCAGACTCTTCCTTCCGTACAAATTTACTCCACATAACTAGTCTAAATGTTGATCTAAATTTGAAAACCGTATTCATACGTAATTAGATGGAATTTGATTGGTCAAATAATTTTTGCTATGAATTAAAACCATGAAAAAGTTTCAAGCCAAAATGGCATTATCATCTCTATTTGCAAATTAACGTGAATTACTCTTGTGATTTTTACTTATTTATGCTAAGAAGATTTTCAAATAAAAGTCCAAATAGTTACAATATAGAAATGCGCATAATAAGTTTATATATATATATATATATATATATATATATATATATATATATATATATATATATATATATATATATATATATATATATATAGATAGATAGATAGATAGATAGATAGATAGATAGATAGATAGATAGATAGATAGATAGATAGATAGATATCTGTTTCATGATTTTCTGGCCGTTATTCTAGTAGTTTCATTTCTGTATGAAAACAGTTTGGACTCATCTCCATATTTGGCAGAAACTTTGCTATTGCAATTAAACAAAAACTATTTCAGGACTAGAAAACTGAAATTTGGCACACGCCCGCCTGCACACACATATCAGTTTATAAAGTTAAATATCGGTGACTATAATGATTTTTATGAGAAAGGTTAAATGGATATACGGACCTACATACAATGAGACGCGTATAATGTGTTCACTTATGCCATCGCATTGGGGAAAGAAAATGAAAAAAAAAATTAAAAAAAATAAACATTCTAACCTGCTAGTATGAACAGAGAAGCGACGAGTACAGCCGTCCTCATTCTAATTCGTACAGTTCGATCTTGTACATTAAAGATCTTATTTTGGATTGATGGAATTTTATACCATGGCAAATGGGATGGTTCACATGCAGATAACACGCGTCACGATTTAAGAATAGAAACTATGTCACATGAAATAGATAAAGAAGAATGTGAAATTTCCACGCATCCTTGAATGAACCTTTTTACAGATCGACTAAATACGTTCACTGCATAATACCATGTTTTGAATTCAGTGAATTGTTAGATTTTAAATAACAATAAATGAATGTTAGATCGTGCAAACGATTAATCGAACTACGAATCGAGTGATCAAGGAAACATAGTAAAGTAAACTGTGACCAATTATAGGTTTGATATGGAGTACTACACTTGCATAAATATTTCGCTTGGAATCACTGCTCACCATATTTAGGTCAATCTTTCTTGATGGGAGAAATTATTAATCAAAAATATCCCAAATTATTGGGGAAAAACACGTTCGAAATAAGCCAGGTTAATTGTAAGTGTACGATATTATTTCAAAATAAGTATTGTGCTAACTTTTATGTAAATAATATTGTTACATATGTCTTATTCATAAGAAGGCGAATAATTAATTGGGGTGGGGTGAATCTAAATTTAACTGATAATTCTTTATTGGGAACCATCACACTGGAAATAACAGCGCGTGATCATTTCCAGGCGAAGATAAGCGTACAGGTAAACTTATCTTGCGCCTACATTGACGTGATCATTTCCTGTCATGCGCCTACATTGACTTGCGATCCAATAGATTGAATCAGAAAACATTTAATAATTCCGGTTCAGTACCCACGAATGTAGTCCCAGTCTATTTTTAGATCATTTTTTCCTGTCTCCGTTTGGTGGTGATACAAGAGTTAGATTTTGGCATTCTTGGTAATGATTTATTTAAAGGCAATTGTTTAATCGTTAGAATGTGAGCTTATGGTGTGGTTGTCTGTGTGGATTTCCGCGACAGTACACAGCGAGTGATAAGGCCATGGTGAGGATCCGGAAGTGAAATCTGTGTTCAGTTGCCTGGTGTTTTGTTTACAATTCAGCCTCTCAAAAAAATGCAGGTCAATCCTTGACAAAGTACTTCACCGTAAAGTCATCATAGAAGGTATTTTAGATTAACATATGATTTGTATTGATTGTCACATTGGAAAGTTCAGTACTGAGAAACAAATGTATAGACTATATAGTAAAATTAATTGTGTTCTTTAGCCAGATGTACGATGATTAGAAGTGCGAGCGAATTGTTCATTCGGAACATTCTAAACATTTACACATGTGATAGAACATTCAGGATCATTTTGGATTCAATTAACAATACTGTAAATTCCTCTAAAATTTTCTCTTTTTCTCTTGAAGAAGTAAATTATTTTGTAATTTTACAAAATTTGTTGGTTTCGTTTTTCTGTTTCTTTGTATAAGACTGTGTGGTAACAATAACTGAAAAAATTGCTTGCACACAATCTTTCATTCTTGCCGTCAAACAGTGTTTTGCCTGCCCATCTGGTCTTGGTTTCCAACAGTGTACTGGCCTGTCTATCTGGAGTGCTTGTGCTATAGACATTTGAGAATATTTGTAATTTTCGTTTGCTAATTATGTCGTGATTCGATAGCATAAAGTCAAAGAAAATGTTTCGTGTGTACTCGCGTTTGATCAAGGAATTGTCAACGTTAGTGTGCGCATAAAAAGCAGTATGACACGAATATCCACTGACTGAGCACACATTGTCATTTTCCAAAGTTTGTGTAGATGTTAAAGCACACTACACGCTATGCATTGTTAAGACCCTTTAGTTAAATTACATGTGTGTTAAAATTTGAAATCTTTTAAATTCTTTCTGTTTCATTAGTGCTTCATTTTTATATCATTAAATATAATTATTACATTTTATTGGAAGCATCGTACTAATTTAGAACGTAAATGTGACTAGTGTAAGGACGATTTTGTATGACTCTTTAGTCATATTAAGTAAACGGTCGGAAAAACCTATGTAAATGATTGGTTGTGACTACAGTAGTTGCTAATAATGTTTGTTGACATTGATGATAGCTGTACTTCATCTACCGTTTAAAGAATAATTATTTTGCCTGGTGATCTACACACTGGATTTGGACAAAGACATTTTCTGAAATTAATTCTTAATTTGAACAGGACAGTACAAATTGTGATTCACAGTCAAAATTCTGGACATTTGCGTTAAACTTCGTCTGATGTCATCATCAGCCATCTTGGAACGGAATTGATATTCAGACTACGCCAATTTAGAACTGTATAGTCACAGGACTTGTGTGTTTTCACAATTTCAGGACAAATTTTTGGATCTTCTTCGTAAATCGTAAGTCCTTTTTCATATTTTTCCCTATTCACAGTGTTTTCTAGGCAAATAAATTATTTTTGTTAAAATTTACAAAGCTTGTTGTTTTCGCTCTTTTTTTCATGTTACTTTAAACGAGACGATAGGTAACAGTATAGAAAATTCATCAACCTTTTCCACATATGGCAAGACTTAAATCTAATACAGGCTTTTAAACACATCACGGGTCTATTTGTTGTGAAGTGATGTGATTATGATTTTAACGTAGCTTTTAACAATTTTTAAGTCGTATCGCTATTATGTCTCCAGTTTGGCAGTTTATAGTGATGTCTAGCACTGGGGCATCATGCCGCAGACATGTAGCGTGATGTCCCACAAAGTCACATTATCCTGACACCAGGCTGACCAATCCTAACACTAACCTCTTAATGGCGAGCTTCAGGCTATGCAGCTGCAAGTACTATTTTTCTAAGTCTTTGATATAACTCGACGGGGGTCGAACCAACAAACTTCCGCATCCGAAGCCGACGCTCTAACCACTAGGCCACCGGAGCGGTCGATATATTCTATTCGTGCTAATTATGAATTCAGGAGTATAAACACAATCATGACCGTCGTCATCGTGAGGTTTGTACCAAGGCAATTGCCACTTTTCCGATCTATCTGATGTGTTTGGTGGATTCCTCGATGTCGTGGGATAAATAACAAAGACGACTTTATACGAGTTACTTAGACGAAAAGCACAAATGGAAGGACCATAGTCATGAACTTTGTTATCAATTTCACCTTAATTAATGTCATAATTGGGAACAATATATATATATATATATATATATATATATATATATATATATATATATATATATATATATATATATATATATATATATATATATTTATATATTATAGCCACGCACAGACAGAGATCGTAGAGACGTTAAAATGAAAATCAAAATAAAGTTTATACATGATCAACAAATAAAGAATACACAAGGCACACAGCAAGAATAATTTGGAATTAAATAATCAAGGAAAAGTTTCCTCTTTTTATATAAGAAAGATTGAGAACATTTAAACATAAATTAAATAACCTGGCCCAGATGAGAAACGCATAATTTTAAATACTGTATTTGTTCTACTGAAATGAATCTGTAAAAAAGTTGTTTTTTTTTGTTTTTTTCTTCTCATCTCTCATCTTCGACTGCCACTTAAATTAGCCGAAATTCAAGAAAAAGCTCTTCCAAAATGACGCAAAATCCTTTAAAGTTTAATTTCAAATTCACAATAAATCTTAATGATCAACATCATTTATTTTAAAGTCGACTAATAAAGCTTTAAATAGTAAATAGATGATGCCTTTGCTTCAAATAAAGATGAGAAATCCATTAGTTTTGATTCTGCTTGTGCCATAAAGACGCGACATGTTGCTCGCTTTATTTGTTTGACGCAGTCAAATATATGGTGGTTGCAGATGATATTTAGACCAACAGGAGTTACACGAGATCGTACAAAAGAGCGGTCAGCTTACATCGACGATACAAACATAGGGGCTAAGGATATAGATATTTGCATCCTTAAGACCGTTTCCGTATAGTCATTCCTACAACATTCTTGGAGGAAACATTGTAAAGGACTCATTAGAATCGAATCAACAGCCGGATAGTGACTAAGAGATTTCTTAAATTCGGCCTCCAATCTCTTCGGCCTAACAGTAGACTACATCATACTATACAGCTCTGGCGAGTCAGGTTGCCTTATGCTTGGAGACATCAACCTAATGAATTGGACTCCTTGGTATCGGGCGAAAGTTTTCTTTAATAACAATAGTAAATGGCAGCTCTTTCATTTGGACGGACTAAAGAGTGGTATCGGAGGAAATAACATTTCATGAATTCTTGTAATTTTAAAATGGAATATTTGAGGTTTATAGTGTGATGGTATAGGGAACTGTATTTAAGACACATCTGGTACATGTTGAAATACATCGAAACACTTTTCATTCGGATTGAAGCTTAACTGACTATGTGAGCCATCATGTGATCTAAAATCGCGGGTTGAAACAGACATTTTTTAGTGGATTTGATCAAGTGGTAAATACATACCTTCGGGCTCAAGGTATTTGTCTTGTTATTGCTGTTTGAGTTGATATTCGTATTTAGAATAATGTATTCAGCCTGGAAAATACTCTTTTTCAACGACTTTCTTGGACAAGGACATTCACTAAACTAGTCGGAATTCAAAAGCCGGAATTATAGTCTTTGTGACTCATCAAGGAATTATTGACACATCAACACAAACTGGTTATAGAGGAGGTCATGGCGTTCCATATTGGAACTTCATCTAGATTGAAACATGGATTCAATTCGAAGTGTTTAGTGATAGGAGTTGTATTTTTCTATTCCAAGATTAATTGTTGGAATATATTCTCAAACCGTAAGTCCAATTTCATATTTTTCCCCTTGTTTTCCATGGGAAATAAATTATTTTGTTAAATTTACTAAGCTTGTTGACTTCGCTCTTTTCTTTTGTTACTTTTGTGCGAGCCTACACATAACACCATTTTTTTTTATCCAAAGTTAATATAGAATACATGCACAGTGTCACATCTGTACATAACGGATTCTCTGTTTATCCAAAAACGAGATGGAAAACTTTCTATGTATCTTGAAAAACACCTTCAAATAGTTTCTCAGAGGTGACAATCGAAACATTTTTGATGAACGGATGAACAAAAACCTCCAGGAGGTTTTAAGGCAAAATTTAGCTGCATTATGCCATAACACTTTCCTGGTCTTTGTAGCAAGTTCTGCTCATTTAAGACGGTGAAGTCTACCTGAAGGCAATACGTACATTGATACGACTCTACATATACTTTAGATACACCTTATTTCCAACACGGTTCTGTGGTCTAGTGAGCTTATATTACGTGGTTTCGTTTCTACATAGTCAAGATTGCAGCAGTGACCCACCAGATACAACGCATCGGTTTTTAAGCAAATATGAACCAATATCAATTACCCACATGTCTAGTTTATATCTAGTATCTGTTGCAATCGCTTTTTAATCGTGGTCAAATCACGATCTACGGAACGTCTTCATGAACAAGAACTTTAGACAAATGACAATGATGAAATTAATATTGTATATTCAGTTTATAACAGTGCAGACTTAGAAATTCCACACCTATTTTACTCCACACATTATCGTATGAGGTTTATTTGTGTACTCAGCCTGGCTTCGAACCCACTACTTCACGGATGTGACTAGTACGCTCTAACCACTAGCTCATCCCGAGCGGTTTTTGCTTTGGCAGATCATGAGCAAAAGGATGACTTGAAATACAGAGAATCAGTTTTGGTTGTATAGTAAATATATCATTAGACATTATGGATTTTTGTTATTTTCTTCCATTCAAAAGATGACCAAACTGTAGTGGGCAACGATTCCAAGGATGTTTTTATGAAAGATTATTACACCGTAACAAAACTGTAGTTGTTCCCTGTTGACCTAGTTTTGCTTGTTTGACCACTCGATTTCGTCTTTCGAGTTTTGGTTTGAAGGCTCTAAACATTTATCGATTTTTACTTAAAATCTAAGCAATATTCACAGAGTTCGAAATCTATCACTTATTGCAAGTATTCATTCCATATCTAAAACGTTCATCTAAGGATGCATGCAAAGATTGCATGCTTCTTTATCTGTTTCGTGCGCCATAGGCTATATCCGAAGGCCGGATCTTTAAATCGTGATTAGTTTTATCTACATGTGCCATGTTTAGAACTAAAATAAGGACTGCTGTGTTTGTTGCTTCTATGTTTATACTAGTTGGAATGTTTATTTCGGGGAGGGGGTCGTTTTTTATTCCGAATGCAATGGCAGAAGGGAATTATTTTTTTGCTGCTCAATGTCCCTACGAATCTGCCGAAGCAGCGTAAACTCATTGCACATAAAACCAATAGAGTTAAACTGCATTAATGTTGCCATGCCTATTGACTAATGATCTGATTTAAATTTCAGGCCGTCACAGCAATTAGCACATTATGAAACCCTTTGGACACAGACCCATCTTTGAGAAAAACTTTGTTATCGCAATTAAACAAAAAAAATTTGTCTCGTCAACAAAAATGAAATTTGCCGAACACAAAACACACACAAACGCATAACTATGTATGTATGCATGTATGCATGCATGTATGCATGCATGTATGTATGTATGTATGTATGTATGTATGTATGTATGTATGTATGTATGTATGTATGTATGTATGTATGTATGCATGTATGCATGCATGCATGTATGCATGTATGCATGTATGTATGTATGTATGTATGTATGTATGTATGTATGTATGTATGTATGTATGTATGTATGCATGTATGCATGCATGCATGTATGCATGTATGCATGTATGTATGTATGTATGTATGTATGTATGTATGTATGTATGCATGATGTATGTATGTATGTATGTATGTATGTATGTATGTATGTATGTATGTATGTATGTATGTATGTATGTATGTATGTATGTATGTATGTATGTATGTATGTATGTATGTATGTATGTATGTATGTATACATGCATGCACGTACGTACGTACGTACATACGTATGTTTTCATTTGACTACTGAATGTTTTAACTTCGATTTTGCCCTTTCTATAGGACTTTACTAGAAACCTAAAAACAATGGTAGTTGAAGTATTTCTTTTATTTTATGATCTTTTCTCGTACAAGGAGTACTTTCTTATCTTAAATCTTAAGTAAACTTGATTGTCGTTCAAAGACGTATTAAAAAACTGTAGTCATGACACAGTATTACCACAGCTGAAGGAAATGGGTACTTCGTTTACTATGATTTGCAAATTAAATTTACAAAGAGCAAAAAGCTGATATCTCACATCACTGAAAGTATTCATTAGAAACCTTTAAAAAAAATAGATTCGATAATAAATATGTTGCATTCCATTGTTTGAACGAAAGTGTCATGGAGAATTTTCGTATTCCAGTCTACGATTTTGAGGGAATGATTGCTGCTTTAACATTGTTAAAAAGTGTATATAGTCCACAAACCTAGAAAACAAACACCCAGATAAGCAGATAAGCACACAAAATGAAGGATAGTGATCTTGATTCTGTAGCGGATGAATTTGTTATGATTACACAAGAAATTGTACCTTTATTCCTTTTGATCACTCAATCAAGTGCTCCTTGCCTCACTGTGCTCACAAAAACAAATGAATCTTTTCTCACTGAATTTACCACATCAAATATACATTTTCTTTACTGTTATTCATTAAGTAAAGGTGTAAAGAAATCAAGCAATTTAATAATATCTAGCCATTGTTGATGAGAGTCCTGCGAGATTCGCAGATCCAAAACAATCAGATTATCACTAAATATTGAAAAAGAAAATGTAAATAATTTCATGCAATAACTGAATCTCCACTTATACAGATAGAAATACAAGAGAATATTAATTGTGCTCTTTCATATGGTTTGGGAATGAAATTAAACGTACATTTTATTTGTTTTCACTTTGACATAAATTAAC